GAGGCACTGTCTGCCTCAGTTTCCCCCTCTCTATTATAGACCTAACTCTATGAAGGTCCATGGGAGGCAGTGACTCCAAGGTTGGGGCTCATCCCTCAGGGGATGGGGGGAGGGGCATGTCACCCCCCCAAAGTGGGGTGGAAATCGAGGTTCCACCACTGGACCCCCTGCCCCCCACCTTGACCGGTTTCTCTCCCCTCTGCTGACCGTCAGGAGATGACAAATTCCACGCCAAGACCAGCCCCTTGCTGACGAGCCTGATCGAGAACATCCTCAAACAGGTGAGGGGCACCCCTGGATGCCTGGGTTCTCTCCCTGGCTCGGGGAGGGGAGTGGGGGCTGGTGGTTAGAGCAGGGGGGCTGGGAGTCAGGACTCCTGGGTTCTCTCCCCGGCTCAGGGAGGGGAGTGGGGGCTGGTGGTTAGAGCGGGGGGGCTGGGAGCCAGGACTCCTGGGTTCTCTCCCCGGCTCAGGGAGGGGAGTGGGGGCTGGTGGGTGAGAGCGGGGGGGCTGGGAGCCAGGACTCCTGGGTTCTCTCCCCGGCTCAGGGAGGGGAGTGGGGGCCGGTGGGTTAGAGCGGGGGGGGTCAGAGGTGAGAGCTCAGGGAAGGTTCATTTAGGGTTAGAGGTGAAGGGTTAAAGGTCAGGGGTCTAGGAATGGTGGGGTCTGCAGGGTCACAGGCCATATTGGCCTCTCTGAGGGTGGAAGGTCGGGGGTTAGAGTTCAAAGGTCACCTGTGACTCCTCCCTCCGCCAGGTCGACAGCCCGAACCGCAGCGGCCAGAGTCTCTACGAGCAGGTGACGTTCCCGGATCGGCGCTGGGCCAGCGAGGTGTAAGTGGGGCGCGACCCCCAGGGCAATGGTGACCCTTCACCTCTGACCTGTCACCTCTGCCCCTGCCCTTACCCAGCGGTGACCCTTCACCTCTGACCTGTCACCTCTGCCCCTGCCCTTACCCAGCGGTGACCCTTCACCTCTGACCTGTCACCTCTGCCCCTGCCCTTACCCAGCGGTGACCCTTCACCTCTGACCTGTCACCTCTGCCCCTGCCCTTACCCAGCGGTGACCCTTCACCTCTGACCTGTCACCTCCAACCCCTGTCCTTCCGTCCACTGACATTGCCCAGCAGTGACCCTTCACCTCTGACCTGTCACCTCTGACCCTGCCCTTACCCAGCGGTGACCCTTCACCTCTGACCTGTCACCTCTGCCCCTGCCCTTACCCAGCGGTGACCCTTCACCTCTGACCTGTCACCTCTGCCCCTGCCCTTACCCAGCGGTGACCCTTCACCTCTGACCTGTCACCTCCAACCCCTGTCCTTCCGTCCACTGACATTGCCCAGCAGTGACCCTTCACCTCTGACCTGTCACCTCTGACCCTGCCCTTACCCAGCGGTGACCCTTCACCTCTGACCTGTCACCTCTGTCCCTGCCCTTAGCCAGCGGTGACCCTTCACCTGTGACTCTTCACCTCTCACCCCTGTCCTTCCATGCACTGACCTTACCCAATGGTGACCCTTCACCTCTGACCTTAAATACTCTCTACCTTTGCTGACCCTTCCCCTTTGACTCTGGCCCCGCCCCCTTTTCACCCTGACCCCGCCCCGTAGCCTCTGACCCCCGTCACGGTGCAGGTCTCACCCCGCTGGCGCCTCCTGCTGGTCGCTCCGGGGATTGGCCCGGCCCGTCATCTGCCCCTCTCCACGGCTTCGGCCCCACGTCACTGCCCCCTTCGGGACGCTGCCCCCCGGCTGTGCCCCCCACTTCCCTCTTACCCCCCTTCCGGGGGTCCCGGGCCGTGCCGGAGGGTCCAGCCACAGCCCAAAGTCTGGCTCCTCCCTGGCCGTGCCGGGGGGCAGGGCCCCCCGCTACTCCGGGTCCCCTGAGCCCACCCAGCACGGCTCTGGCCCCGGCGCGACCCCTGGGAGCTGGCCCACCCTCGGCTGGGCTGCCCCCAGCAGCTGCCTCCCGCCTGGCTCCTAACGAGCCTGGCCCTAATTAGCTGCAGGTTTCCCCAGCTGCTTCTGCCCCACCCCCGGCTGGCGTGGACCACCTGCCCCACTGCACCCCCACATCTCAGCTTAGCCCTGGCCACGCGTGCCCCTTAACCTCTGACCCCCCCAATCTGGCCAGGACTACCTCGCCCCTGCTGACCCCTAATCCCCCCAGCCCCTGACCCGCTCTGATCCCCTCCCACCCCGTGCTCCAGCCAGCCCCATACACTGGGTGGGGGGGAATCTCTTGCCTGCCCCAGATCTTGCTGCCGCCCCCCGAAATCCTGAGCTGTTTGGGACTGGGAGTCCCTGATGTCAGAGCCCCCTGGGGAAGGTTTGTGAGGGGGGGCAGCCCTGGGTGGGACAATGGGGGAACCCCCAGCGCCCCCCCCTTCTCCCGGACTCTGAACCTGCCTCTTGCCCCCCCAGGATCCAGCCCCTCGCCATGGAGAGCAGCGCCTACCCCTTCACCGCCTTCGCGGGGGTCCCGGCCGTGGAGTTCTCCTTCGTCGAGGTGAGAGACCCCCACGCCCCTCGCTCCCGACCCCCAGCCCCCCGCTGGTGCCCCCCACTCCTGACCCCCAGCCCCCCCGGTCTTACCCTCTGCCCCGCAGGACGCCCGCCCCTACCCGTTCCTGCACACCCAGGACGACACCTACGAGAACCTGAACGGGATGCTCTTCGGGCGGCTGCCGGCCGTGGCCAAGTCGGTGGCCGAGGTGGTGGGGCAGCTGCTGATCCGCCTGACCCACGACCACCTGCTGCCCCTGGACTTCGGCGCCTACGGGGACGTCCTGCTGCAGCACATCGCGGAGCTCAACCCCTACAGCAGCGAGCTCAAGGTACGGCCTCGGGGGGGGGGCGCAGCCCCCCAGGGGGATCCGGGCCTGCCCACCGATCGCCCCGGCTCTGGGAGGGGAGGGGGTCTGGCGGGATAGAGCAGGGGGGATGGGGAGCCAGGACTCCTGGGTTCTCTCCCTGGCTCTGGGAGGGGAGTGGGGGCTGGGAGCCAGGACTCCTGGGTTCTCACCCTGGCTCTGGGAGGGGAGTGGGGGCTGGGAGCCAGGACTCCTGGGTTCTCTCCCTGGCTTTGGGAGGGGAGCGGGGGCTGGGGGCTAGAGCAGAGGGGGGCTGGGAGCCAGGACTCCTGGGTTCTCTCCCTGGCTCAGGGTGGGGAGTGGGGGCTGGTGGGTTAGATTGGGGGGCTGGGAGCCCGGACTCCTGGGTTCTCTCCCTGGCTCTGGGAGGGGAGTGGGGGCTGGGAGCCAGGACTCTGGGTTCTCACCCTGGCTCTGGGAGGGGAGTGGGGGCTGGGAGCCAGGACTCCTGGGTTCTCTCCCTGGCTTTGGGAGGGGAGCGGGGGCTGGGGGGCTAGAGCAGGGGGGGCTGGGAGCCAGGACTCCTGGGTTCTCTCCCTGGCTCTGGGTGGGGAGTGGGGGCTGGTGGGTTAGATTGGGGGGCTGGGAGCCCGGACTCCTGGGTTCTCTCCCTGGCTTTGGGAGGGGAGCGGGGGCTGGGGGGCTAGAGCAGAGGGGGCTGGGAGCCAGGACTCCTGGGTTCTCTCCCTGGCTCAGGGTGGGGAGTGGGGGCTGGTGGGTTAGATCGGGGGGCTGGGAGCCCGGACTCCTGGGTTCTCTCCCCGGCTCTGGGAGGGGAGTGGGGGCTGGGGGGTTAAAGCAGGGGGGGCTGGGAGCCAGGACTCCTGGGTTCTCTGCCCGGCTCTGGGAGGGGAGTGGGGGCTGGGGGGTTAAAGCAGGGGGGGCTGGGAGCCCGGACTCCTGGGTTCTCTCCCCGGCTCTGGGCGGGGCGTGGGGGCACACGTCCGGGAGCGCAGGACGCGGGGCTGGGGGGGTCGGAAGGCCGCCGGGAGGGCTGCAGGCTGGGTTGCCTCTCTCCCCGCCCCCACTGAGCCCCCCGCCCCGGCCCCCCAGAGCCGCGGCCTGACCCTGCAGTGGATGTACTCGGCCCGGGGCGACTACACGCGGGCGGCCGAGAAGCTGCGACGGGACATCTACAGCTCGGAGGAGCGGGACGAGCGACTCAACCGGCTGCACAACGTCCGCATCATGCGGGTGAGCCGCGGGGGGCCCTGCATCGTCCCCCCCCCCCCCCGGTGCATGCGCCCTTCTGCTGCGCGGACGCCTGCGATTACCCCTCGCCTGCCCCCCTGCAGCACCCCTGCTGCACGGGGGGGGGTCCAGACTCTGCTAACGGCCCCCCCTTCCTCTCGCCCCCCCCCCAGGTGGAGTTCTACTTCCTGTCCCCCTACGTGGCGGCCACGGAGACCCCCTTCCGGCACGTGCTGCACGGGCGGGGGCCCCACACGCTGCGGGCGCTGCTGGACCACCTGCGGCTGCTGCGGGCGGCCCCCGGGCGCTTCGACGAGGGGCATTTCCGGCGCCAGCTGGCCCTGGCCACCTGGACCCTGCAGGGGGCGGCCAACGCCCTGAGCGGGGAGGTCTGGGACGTGGACATCAACTTCTGAGCCCCCCCCCCCCCACCGGGTCCTCACCCCACCTTTGCACCTAGCCCCCCACCCCCAGAGGGGCCCGGCCTTTCGCCTCCCCGCCCCAGAGCCGCACCCAAGGGTCACCCCTTTCTCTGAGCCCCCCAACCCTGCTGCCCCCCCGTTAATTTATCAGTGGCAGGGCCCACTATAAATGGTTTCGTTTATTGCTACGCGATAGATTTAACCCTTTGTTGGAAGCACCAGCTTCTATACCCCCCCCCGTTACCCATGGACATTCAGCATCCCCAGGAACCAATCACGGGCCGGCTCCCCACCGCAGTCCCCGTCCCCCCCCAGCACCCCCCAAAAAATCCATCCCCAGAGTGATGGGGCTGCAGCCTCTGGCGTCAGGACTCCTGGGTTCTCTCCCCGGCTCTGGGAGGGGAGTGGGGGCTGGGGGGTTAGAGCAGGGGGGGGCTGGGAGCCAGGACTCCTGGGTTCGCTCCTGACCTCTCTACCTAGCCTATCTATGTGTCTGATTTCCCCCGCCCTAATGTGTGGGGGGGTCCCCCTCAGACCAGTCCAGCTGGGCAGGTGTTGCCCCTCCCACCCCTGGAGCCGGAAAGCTGAATAAAAATGGATGCTACAGCTCCCTGTGTCTATTTCCAGGGGACCCTGAACCCCCCCTCCAGATTTCTCTTGCACAGGGGGGGCGGGGAATGGGGCACGGCCCCTGGCCCCACGGGTACCAGCCCCCCCGTGCAGAGCCCCCCCCCCCATCCCCCACAGTTCAGGGCCAGTTCGGGCTTTTTAAAAAATTGTATTTTTGCAACAAGAACAAAAAAATTCTCCAGGCAAAAATTTCAAGTATCTGCCCCACCCCCAGCAGATTGGGGGGGGGGCAGGATTCAAGTATCAGAGCGGGCGGGGTCTGGGTGCTCAGGTGCACTGGAGGATTTTGGGGGAGGGGGACCCAAGCTCTTTCGCCCTCAAAAAGGGAGTTAAATCCCCCTTGACTGTCCCCCCGAAAGACCAAGGGGGTCAGAGGTCAAGGGGGCAGGACTCCCCTCCAGCCCCTGCAACCAGCAGGAATCTCCGGGGGACGGTTCACCCCCTCTTTGCCCCGCCCCCTCAGTGCAGTCCCCCCACAGGGGGAGGGGGCTTAAGGCTCTCCGGCTTCTGCCCTCCCCCCTGAGGGGAGGGGCACAATGCATTTGACCCCACCCCTCACTTCCTCCTGTGAAAAGGATGGAGCTGGAAGGCCCCCTTCCCCTGGGCACACCCAGAAGGGGCGGGACTCACCCCAGGCCCCGCCCAAGGGGGAGGGGCTTAAGTGCTTGGCCGCACCCTCTGCCCCTAGCAGGCGTGAGTGTCTACGCCCACCCCGCCCAAGGATGGGAGGGGCTGATGGGTCCTCCTCCCGGGGGAGGAGCAACAGAGCCCAGGCAAGAAGGGCGGGGCCTGTGCTCCTGGGAGACACCCCCCCCAAGTGGGAGACACCCTGCCCCCTCCCCCCCCCGGTGTCGCTGACAGCCCACCCCCCTCCAGCATGGGCGGGGCTCAGGGACCTGGCTCCGCCCCGGCCTCAGCCACACGCCCAAGAAGCGAGGGTTGGGTGGCGGGTGGGGCATGAGCCCCCAGGAAGGGCGGGGCCCCGAGCCGCGGGGGCGGGGCCCCGAGCCGAGGGGGCGGGGCCCCTCAGTCGTGCCCGGCCTCGCTGAGGGGCATGTGGCGGATGGTGTGGAAGATCCAGTCCATCTTGGTGGTCCAGCCGCCGTGGTGGGCTTCGTTCATCTGCTTGGTGAAGTACTCGAGCGCCTCCGGCTCCGACTTGTCGAGCGCCAGCGTCTTGCGCAGGTAGGCGATGTCGTCGAAGGACTGCAGCTCCGGCAGCCCCGAGCTCAGCATCAGCGAGAACAGGCTGATCAGCAGGTTGGCGTGGTGCCGGATGGCCAGGTAGGCCGTGTAGCACATCTCCTGGAACCTGCCGGGGCCCAGCCGGGGGTCAGGACGCCTGGGTTCTCCCCCCGGCGCTGGGAGGGCAGGGGGGGCTGGGAGCCAGGACGCCTGGGTTCGCTCCCAGCGCTGGGAGGGGAGCGGGGGCAGGTGGGTGAGAGCAGGGGGACTGGGAGCCAGGACTCCTGGGTTCTCTCCGGATCTGGGAAGGGAGCGGGGGGCAGGTGGGTCAGAGCAGGGGGGCCTGGGAGTCAGGGCACCTGAGTTCGCTCCCGGCACTGGGAGGGCAGGGAGCCAGGATGCCTGGGTTCTCTCCCGGCGCTGGGAGGGCAGTGGGGATAGGTGGGTTCGAGCGGGGGGCTGGGAGCCAGGACGCCTGGGTTCTCTCCCGGCTCTGGGAGGGCAGTGGGGGCTGGTGGGTTCGAGCAGGAGGGCTGGGAGCCAGGATGCCTGGGTTCTCTCCCCGCTGGGAGGGAGTGGGGTAGGTGGGTTTGAGCTGGGGGGCTGGGAGCTAGGATGCTAGGTTCTCTCCCAGGTGCTGGGGGGGGGGGGCTGGTGGGTTGCGGGGGGTGGGAGCCGGGCCTGGGGTCCCCCCCGGCTCTGGGGGGCGTGGGGGCTGGTGGGTTCGAGCAGGAGGGCTGGGAGCTAGGATGCCTAGGTTCTCTCCCAGGTGCTGGGAGGGCAGTGGGGGCTGGTGGGTTCAAGCGGGGGGGCTGGGAGCCAGGACGCCTGGGTTCTCTCCCGGCTCTGGGAGGGCAGTGGGGGCTGGTGGGTTCGAGCAGGGGGGCTGGGAGCAGGAGGGGGCCTCACCTCTCGAACTCCTTGGTCTTGGTGCACTCCGGCACCCCTTTGCTGATGACGAGGAGGAAGTCCTGGGTGAGGACGAAGGGAACCCGCTCCCGCTTGTAGCCGAACTTCTTCTTCTTGTGGTCCAGGAAGTGGCCGAAGTCGATATGGAAGAGCTGGGAGAACGAGTCAGAGGATGGACGGGGCGCGGGGCCTGTGCCCTCTGGGGGGCGCCGGCTCCCCTCCGGCCCCGGGGGGGGCCTGGCTGGCTCCGGGGGGCGGGGAAGGGGGAGGTCTCACCTGCCCGTCGTCCTTCACCATGATGTTGCTGTTGTGACGGTCGCCGATGCCCAGAACGAAGGTGGCCACGCAGTACCCGGCGCACGAGCGGGTGAACAGGTCGATGGCCGCGTCGTAACTGAACCAGAGCACCAGGGGTGAATCAGCCCCCCCGGCCCGCCTCTGCCCAGCGCCCTGCCCCACGGCCCCCGCCTCCCGCCGGCCCCCCAAGCCCCGCGGCCGGAGCCCCGACCCCAGCGGACCCGGCCTGACCTGTCCCCCTTGTTCTTGTCCTTCAGCCAGTGGTGCAGGGTGTGGCTGTTAAACTGCAGCGCCCCCTTCAGGCCGCCCTTGCACTGGATCTGCATGATGGTGTGGGAGCTCTTCACCACCTCGATCAGCCCCACGCAGTCCCCGATGGACAGGCAGCCGTAGGGCAGCATCCTGGGGGGGGGCAGGAGGGAGGATGAGACAGGGACCCCTCGCCCGGCGCGGAGATGCGGCCACCTCTGGGGCGGGGCGGCCGGTGACCCGGGGACCCCTCGCCCGGCGCGGAGACGCCCACCTCCCCCATTGAGCCCCCCACAATTCCCGACTCCCCCCCCAGCGGAGCAGGGACGCCTCCCCCATTGAGCCCCCCACAATTCCCGACGTCCCCCCAGCCTTGGAGCTGCCACATGTTCTCCATTGAGCCCCCCATAATTCCCGACTCCCCCCAGCGGAGCAGGGACTGCCGGAGGTCCCCCTCCAGTCCAGAGACGGTCAGACCTTGGTTCTGCCACATGTTCTCCATGATCCGGATAATCTGCAGCCCCTGCCCCCCAGCCCGGCCGGTGCCCCTACACCCAGACCCCCAGCCCCTGCCCCCCAGCCCGGCCGGTGCCCCTCACTCCCGACCCCCAGCCCCTGCCCCCCAGCCCGGCCGGTGCCCCTCACTCCCGACCCCCAGCCCCTGCCAGCCCAGCCCTGCCGGTGCCCCTCACTCCCGACCCCCAGCCCCTGCCAGCCCACCCTGCCCCCCCCAGCCCGGCCGGTGCCCCTCACTCCCGACCCGCAGCCCCTGCCCCCCAGCCCTGCCGGTGCCCCTCACTCCCGACCCCCAGCCCCTGCCAGCCCAGCCCTGCCCCCCCGCTGCCCCCCTCACTCCCGACCCCCAGCCCCTGCCACCCAGCCCGGCCGGTGCCCCTCACTCCCGACCCCCAGCCCCTGCCAGCCCAGCCCTGCCCCCCCCAGCCCTGCCGGTGCCCCTCACTCCCGACCCGCAGCCCCTGCCCCCCCCAACCCGGCCGGTGCCCCTCACTCCCGACCCCCAGCCCCTGCCAGCCCAGCCCTGCCCCCCCAGCCCTGCCGGTGCCCCTCACTCCCGACCCGCAGCCCCTGCCCCCCAGCCCGGCCGGTGCCCCCTCACTCCCGACCCCCAGCCCCTGCCCGCCCAGCCCTGCCGGTGCCCCTCACTCCCGACCCCCAGCCCCTGCCAGCCCAGCCCTGCCCCCCCCAGCCCTGCCGGTGCCCCTCACTCCCGACCCCCAGCCCCTGCCCCCCCAGCCCTGCCGGTGCCCCTCACTCCCGACCCGCAGCCCCTGCCCCCCAGCCCAGCCCGTGCCCCCCTCCCGACCCCCAGCCCCTCCAGCCCAGCCCTGCCGGTGCCCCTCACTCCCGACCCCCAGCCCCTGCCCCCCCAGCCCGGCCGGTGCCCCTCACTCCCGACCCCCAGCCCCTGCCAGCCCAGCCCTGCCGCCCCCACTCCCACCCCCCCCCTCCACCCAGCCCTGCCGTCCCCTCACTCCCGACCCCCCCCCTGCCACCCAGCCCTGCCGGTGCCCCTCACTCCCGACCCCCAGCCCCTGCCCCCCCAGCCCGGCCGGTGCCCCTCACTCCCGACCCCCAGCCCCTGCCAGCCCAGCCCTGCCGGTGCCCCTCACTCCCGACCCGCAGCCCCTGCCAGCCCAGCCCTGCCCCCCCCCAGCCCTGCCGGTGCTCCTCACTCCCGACCCCCAGCCCCTGCCCCCCCAGCCCGGCCGGTGCCCCTCACTCCCGACCCCCAGCCCTGCCAGCCCAGCCCTGCCCCCCAGCCCTGCCGGTGCCCCTCACTCCCGACCCGCAGCCCCTGCCCCCCCAGCCCGGCCAGTGCCCCTCACTCCCGACCCCCAGCCCCTGCCAGCCCAGCCCTGCCGGGGCCCCTCACTCCCGACCACCAGCCCCTGCCAGCCCAGCCCTGCCCCCCAGCCCTGCCGGTGCCCCTCACTCCCGACCCCCAGCCCCTGCCAGCCCAGCCCTGCCCCCCCCAGCCCTGCCGGTGCCCCTCACTCCCGACCCCCAGCCCCTGCCAGCCCAGCCCTGCCCCCCCCCCAGCCCTGCCAGCGCCCCTCACTCCCGACCCGCAGCCCCCCCTCACCATCCCCGTTCTTGAAGATGATCTCATGGTTGGTGAAGAGCAGCTCCGACATGATGTCCGGATTCTCCCAGTTCAGCCAGAGCGGCCGCTTGGCCGACGACATGATCCTGCATTCGTCCAGCCTGGAAGGGTAGGGGGGACCTGTCAGGGAGAGAACCCAGGAGTCCAGGCTCCCAGCCCCTCCCCGCCCAGCTCTAACCCACCAGCCCCCACTCCCCTCCCAGAGCTGGGGGGAGAACCCAGGAGTCCAGGCTCCCAGCCCCCCTGGCCCTGAGCTGGGGATGGGACCCAGGAGTCCTGTGGGCCTCACCGGACATTGCCCAGCTGGTGGACAGGGTTCAGGGGGCAGACGAAGCCCTGCAAAGCTTCCATGTAATCCGGGCGTCTCATCTGCTCCACCAGGAACTTCATCTGCATCTGGGGGAGATGGGGGGGTCAATTACTGGGGGCAGGTAAGAACCCAGGGCACAGCCCCACTCCTCCCCCACACCGGGGCAGGGGGGAGCTCCAGGATCCTGCTGGGGCGGGGACGGGGTCACAGATCTGCCTAGGGGGGAGGGGCAAGGAGGCAGATACAGGGCTCTGGTGGGGGGGAGCTGTGGGTCGGGAACGAGGGGGGCTGCCTGGGAGCGAGGGGCGCCGGCCGGGCTGGGGGTCGGGAGCGAGGGGGCGCGGGCCGGGGGGGGGTCGGGAGCGAGGGGCGCGGGCCGGGCCGGGCGGCCGGGGGTCGGGAGCGAGGGGCGCGGGCGGGCGGGGCGGCCGGGGGTCGGGAGCAAGGGGCGCGGGCCGGGCCGGGGGGTGGGGCGGGGGTGGGAGGGGGGCTGGGCGGCGCGGGGTGGGAGCGAGGGGCGCGGGCGGGGTGGGAGGGGGGGGGGGGGTGGGGGGTGGAGGCTGGGGTGGGGGGGGTCGGGAGAGGCGGCGGGGGTCGGGAGCGAGGGCGCGGGCCGGGCCGGGCGGCCGGGGGTCGGGAGCGAGGGGCGCGGGCCGGGGGTCGGGAGCGAGGGGCGCGGGCCGGGGGTCGGGAGCGAGGGGCGCGGGCCGGGGTCGGGAGCGAGGGCGCGGGCCGGGCGGGACTTCGGGGTCTCGTCTCTCTTCTCCTGCCGCAGGGTGTCCGTCAGGTTGACGAGTTTCTCCATCGCCTCCACCTGCCGGTTGAGGTGTCTCAGGTACATCCCGCAGCCCCGGCAGAACGCCTCCAGCATCAGCCCGAACCGCCGGCTCACCGTCCTGCTGTGCATCTCTGACCTGCGGGGGGCGGCCCAGGCACGTCGGCCCTCGCTCCCGACCCGCAGCCCCCCGCCCAGCCCTGCCCCCCAGCCCCGGTCGGGAAGGGGGTCCCCGTTTCAGGGGGCGGCGCCCACTCACTTGAGGTGCCAGAAGTAGAAGTGGCCGACGCGCTGGTTGGTCAAAGCCCTCCGGAGCAGGAACCGGGCCAGCGGGTTGTCCAGGTACTGCTCGTACTTCAGGACCTGCCAGGGAGGCGGAGAGACGGGCTCAGCCCGCACGCACCCTTCCCGGCCCGCTGGGGGCGCTGGGGCTGCAGGGAGCAGGGCCGGGGCGACAGGCGGGGGGACGGGGGCGCGGCCGGGGGTCGCCAGGGGGTGGGGGACGGGGGGCGCGGCAGGGGGTGGGGGACGGGGGCCCGGGCGGGGGGCGCGGCAGGACCTGGACCAGCTGGATGAGGTACTGGCTCAGCTTGTCGTCCGTCAGCCCCTGGACCAGGCACCGGAGGGCGAACTCCCGCACCCGGGGGTCGGGGAAGTTACAGTCCAGCAGCTCCATGGCCAGCTCCGGCTCGATGAGGGGCCATTCCCGCAGCAGGCAGTACATCTGCGGGGCAGAGACAGGCTGGCGGGGCCGGCGGGACTCCCTGCCACCGCGTGCAGAGAGCCCCAACCCGCTCCCGCCCGTCCCCCGGGGCTCGGAGCCGGCCAGGAGGGGACACCGGGCGGCGGGGGGGTGGGGGGGTCCAGGTACCTGAGCCACCTCGTCCCGCGAATTCCACTTGACGGACAGCAGCAGCTTGGGCAGCGTCTCTGGGATGTTCACGCAGTAATGGCTGCAACAAGAGCCGGGGGGCTGAGGTTGTGCCCCCAACCCCCTGCTCAGCCCCCCTCTGCATAGGGGCGAGAACCCAGGAGTCCTGGCTCCCAGCCCCCCCTGCTCTAACCCACCAGGCCCCACTCTCCTCCCAGAGCCGGGGAGAGAACCCAGGCGTCCTGGCTCCCAGCCCCCCCTGCTCTGACCCACCAGGCCCCACTCCCCTCCCAGAGCCGGGCAGAGAACCCAGGCGTCCTGGCTCCCAGCCCCCCTGCTCTAACCCACCAGCCCCCACTCCCCTCCCAGAGCCGGGGAGAGAACCCAGGCGTCCGGGCTGCCTACCGGTGCCTCCAGAGGAAGTCTTTCTCCTGCTCGGTGATCTCCGACAGGGGGTCGCGGTGGCAGATGCTGCGGAGATGCTCCAGTTCGTTCTCCAGCAGGCTGCTGTCCCGGGCCAGGCGGTTGCTCTGCAGGGAAATGGGGTGGGGGTTCCCCCCAAAACATCGAGTGTGCTCAGCCGCCTCCCCCTAGAGGGGACAGGCCCTGTGCCCCATTCCCTTCCCCCCGGGCCAGCCAGTCCCCGCCCTGGGGCTGGGTGGGAGCCAGCGCCCCCCAAGAGGGGAAAGGGGCCCCCCTACCAGTCCCGTGAGGCAGCAGTTGAGGCCCAGCTCCCGCGACATGCTCCGGTTCGCGTGATCCTCGATTTGCGCCTCATCGGCGAACTTCACCGCGTGGCTGAACCCGGTGAACTCGAGCTCCAGGCAGGGGGTCTCCTGGTGGGGTGAGTGGGGGGGGGAAAGGGGGTCAGAACCCTAAGCACCCCCAACCCCATCCAAAGGGGACTCCCCACCCCTGGCAAAGCACCCCCAAGTCACCCCAAAAACAATGTGCTCAGACCCTTCCAATTTATGTAGGCCCTACAATAACACACAAGAGGGCCACACAGATCTATTATTGTAGCACCTACATAGATCTCCCTGTGATGTGGTCTCGTTGTCATCGTAGGGCTCCGCCATCCTGGGCAGATTATGCTGGCCCTGTGTATTTACGTAGGTCCTACCTTAACAGCCAAAACATACCAGCCCTGTGTATTTACGTAGGCCCTACCTTAACAGCCAAAACATACCGGCCCTGTGTATTTACGTAGGCCCTACCTTAACAGCCAAAACATACTGGCCCTGTGTATTTACGTAGGTCCTACCTTAACAGCCAAAACATACCAGCCCTGTGTATTTACGTAGGCCCTACCTTAACAGCCAAAACATACTGGCCCTGTGTATTTACGTAGGTCCTACCTTAACAGCCAAAACATACCGGCCCTGTGTATTTACGTAGGCCCTACTGTGATTCTGTCCGGGAGACAGCACCACTGAGGCTTGTTTACGGTTTCACAGCAGGTGTCTCTGAGCGCTTAGGCTGACCATTTTGGCCTGGTGCGTTTTGAGTAGGCCCTACCATAACCGCCAGCTGCGGGCGGAGAGAAGTTGGCTGCAATACCGCTAACCACCACGAGAGGGAGCAAATTGGGCTTCCGGCTGCAGACAGGCGAGGGGGGGGTTAATAGCCAGATACCCCACTGCGGGACGGGGCCCGGGGCCGGGCTGGTTGGGGGCTGCGGGTCGGGAGTGAGGGGCACCGGCGGAGCTAGGGGCCCAGGGCCGGGTGGGCTGGGAGTGAGGGGCACCGGCCAAGCAGGGGGGCAGGAAGACACTCACTTTGTTAGGGTTCGAGCCCCCCACACCAATGGGGTTCAGTAAGTCCTCCAGGCCGTGGGGCACCGGCCACAGGTTCAGCGCCATCTTCCCAGCCACCAAGGTATCTTTGTAATCAAAGAGATTGACGTTCCCCCACGCCAGGGGGCAGTGTTCCTGCCAGGGGGCGGGACAGAGACCATGGGGGGGTCACAGCCAGCCTGACCCCCATTCCCCGCCCCCCTGAGCCAGCCAGTCCCCGCCCTGGGGCCGGGTGGGAGCCGGCACCCCCTAGAGGGGACAGCCCCTGTGCCCCATTCCCCGCCCCCCTGAGCCAGCCAGTCCCTACCCTGGGGCCGGCGCCCCCCCAGATGGGGCAGGCCCCTGCCCCATTCCCCCCCACACCTCTTTCGCCCCCTTGCGGCCCTTGACGGAGCAGATGGAGAGGCAGAGGCGGGCAGCACGGGGCAGGTCGGCGAGGTAGATGTCGTACGAGAGCCATTCGTTCCACCTGGGGAGAGGGACACAGGTTGAGCTCCACACCGACGGACACGGGGGGAGAGCCCCCCAGCCCGCTCCCAGCCACCCCACAACGGGGCTGGAGCCAGGACTGAGTGCGGAGGGAGAGCACCCCCTGCCGCCCCCCCCCCCCCAGCCCCTCTACCTGGGGTTGGAGCAGGGAACGCGCTGGGTGTTGACATTGTCGCAGAGGGGCTCCCCGCCGTGGTAAATCCCCGTCCGGACGTAGATCTGGGAAATGGGAGAGAAGGAGCCATCATGCCAGGGGACCCAGGAGTCCTGGCTCCCAGCCCCAACCCCCCGCTCTAACCCACCAGCCTCCACTGCCCTCCCAGAGCCGGGGAGGGCACCCAGGAGTCCTGACTCCCAGCCCCCCCTGCTCTAACCCACCAGCCCCCACTCCCCTCCCAGAGCTGGGGAGAGAACCCAGGCGTCCTGGCTCCCGGCCCCCTCGCCTTCCCCCCCCCCCCCCCCCCCCGAAAGTCGATGTCGCGGACCCGCTCCCCCCCCCCCCACCCCCTCCCAGAGCGGACGAGAACGTAGGTCCGCACACAGCCACCCGGCCCCACTGCTCCCAGAGCGGGGAGAAACACCGGGCCCCCCCCCCTCTCCTTGTGGGTGTGGCGGGGGTTGGGTTGGGGAGGTCGCACACAGCACGCGGATGCTCAGCAAGCTGGGGACGGACCAGAGGGAGGTGGCGGGCAGGTCCCCATTGGCATGGGCGCCGGGGCCGGCCCGGCGGGCGTAGGAGGGCAGCAGGAAGACGTTGGCCGGCAGCTGGCTGTACAGACTCTCCTTGGACATGAGCATGAGGTGGGGCAGGCGCCCCACGGCGATGCAGTTCCTCATGTACTGGGGCAGAGAGAGAGAGAGCGAGAGCATGTTCCCACCTCGTACCCGCTGAGCGGCCGGGGGAGGCCGAGCGGGGCCCCGGGCCCCGGCCCTCACCTCGTACTGGCTGGGAGGCCGGGGGAGGCCGAGCGGGGCCCCGGCCCTCACCTCGTACTGGCTGAGCGGCCGGGGAGGCCGAGCGGGGCCCCGGCCCTCACCTCGTACTGGCTGAGCGGCCGGGAGGCCGGGAGGCCGAGCGGGCCCCGGCCCTCACCTCGTACTGGCTGAGCGGCCGGGGGAGGCTGAGCGGGGCCCCGGCCCTCACCTCGTACTGGCTGAGCGGCCGGGGGAGGCCGGGGAGGCCGAGGGGCCCGGCCCTCACCTCGTACTGGCTGAGCGGCCGGGGGCTGAGGGGGCCCCGGCCCTCACCTCGTACTGGCTGAGCGGCCGGGGGAGGCCGGGGGAGGCCGAGCGGGGCCCCGGCCCTCACCTCGTACTGGCTGAGCGGCCGGGGGAGGCTGAGCGGGGCCCCGGCCCTCACCTCGTACTGGCTGAGCGGCCGGGGGAGGCCGGGGGAGGCCGAGCGGGGCCCCGGCCCTCACCTCGTACTGGCTGAGCGGCCGGGGGAGGCTGAGCGGGGCCCCGGCCCTCACCTCGTACTGGCTGAGCGGCCGGGGAGGCTGAGCGGGGCCCCGGCCCTCACCTCGTACTGGCTGAGCGGCCGGGGGAGGCTGAGCGGGGCCCCGGCCCTCACCTCGTACTGGCTGAGCGGCTGGGGAGGCCGGGGAGGCCGAGCGGGGCCCCGGCCCTCACCTCGTACTGGCTGAGCGGCTGGGGGAGGCTGAGCGGGGCCCCGGCCCTCACCTCGTACTGGCTGAGCGGCCGGGGGAGGCCGGGGGAGGCCGAGCGGGGCCCCGGCCCTCACCTCGTAGTGGCTGGGAGGCCGGGGAGGCCGGGGGCCCCCCTCACTCTATGCTGAGCGCCGGGGAGGCTGGGGGGCCCCGGCCCTCACCTCGTACTGGCTGAGCGGCCGGGGGAGGCCGGGGGAGGCCGAGCGGGGCCCCGGCCCTCACCTCGTACTGGCTGAGCGGCCGGGGGAGGCCGGGGAGGCCGAGCGGGGCCCCGGCCCTCACCTCGTACTGGCTGAGCGGCCGGGGAGGCCGAGGGGGCCCCGGCCCTCACCTCGTACTGGCTGAGCGGCCGGGGAGGCCGGGGGAGGCCGAGCGGGCCCCGGCCCTCACCTCGTACTGGCTGAGCGCCCGGGGAGGCCGGGGGCCGGCCCTCACCTCGTACTGGCTGAGCGGGCCGGGGAGGCCGAGGGCCCCGGCCCTCACCTCGTACTGGCTGAGAGGCCGGGGAGGCCGGGGAGGCCGAGCGGGCCCCGGCCCTCACCTCGTACTGGCTGAGCGGCCGGGGAGGCCGGGGGCGAGCGCGGCCCCGGCCTCACCTCGTACTGGCTGAGCAGCCGGGGAGGCCGGGCGGCCCCGGGCCTCACCTCGTACTGGCTGAGCGGCCGGGGAGGCCGGGGGCCGAGCGCGGCCCCGGCCCTCACCTCGTACTGGCTGAGCGGCCGGGGAGGCCGAGCGCGCCCCGGCCCTCACCTCGTACTTGCTGAGCGGCCGGGGGAGGCCGGGGGGGCCGAGCGCGGCCCCGGCCCTCACCTCGTACTGGCTGAGCGGCCGGGGGAGGCCGAGCGCGGCCCCGGCCCTCACCTCGTACTGGCTGAGCGGCCGGGGGAGGCCGGGGGAGGCCGAGCGCGGCCCCGGGCCTCACCTCATACTGGCTGAGCGGCCGGGGGAGGCCGGGGGAGGCCGAGCGGGGCCCCGGCCCTCACCTCGTACTGGCTGAGCGGCCGGGGGAGGCCGGGGGAGGCCGAGCGCGGCCCCAGCCCTCACCTTGTACTGGCTGAGCGGCTGGGGGAGGCCGAGCGGGGCCCTGGCCCTCACCTCGTACTGGCTGAGCGCCCGGGAGGCCGGGAGGCCGAGCGCGGCCCCAGCCCTCACCTCGTACTGGCTGAGCGGCCGGGGAGGCCGGGGGGGCCCCTCACCTCTACTGGTGAGCGGCCGGAGGCCGAGCGCAGCCCCGGCCCTCACCTCGTACTGGCTGAGCGGCCGGGGAGGCCGGGGAGGCCGAGCGCGGCCCCGGGCCTCACCTCATACTGGCTGAGCGGCCGGGGAGGCCGGGGGAGGCCGAGCGGGGCCCCGGCCCTCACCTCGTACTGGCTGAGCGCCCGGGGGAGGCCGGGGGAGGCCGAGGGGGCCCCAGCCCTCACCTCATACTGGCTGAGCGGCCGGGGAGGCCGGGGAGGCCGAGCGGGGCCCCGGCCCTCACCTCGTACTGGCTGAGCGCCCGGGGAGGCCGGGGAGGCCGAGCGGGGCCCCGGCCCTCACCTCGTACTGGCTGAGCGGCCGGGGAGGCCGGGAGGCCGAGCGGCCCCAGCCCTCACCTCGTACTGGCTGAGCGCCCGGGGGAGGCCGGGGGAGGCCGAGCGCGGCCCCAGCCCTCACCTCATACTGGCTGAGCGGCCGGGGGAGGCCGGGGGAGGCCGAGCGGGGCCCCGGCCCTCACCTCGTACTGGCTGAGCGCCCGGGGAGGCCGGGGGGAGGCCGAGCGGGGCCCCGGCCCTCACCTCGTACTGGCTGAGCGGCCGGGGGAGGCCGGGGGGGCCGAGCGGGCCCCGGCCCTCACCTCGTACTGGCTGAGCGGCCGGGGGAGGCCGAGCGGGGCCCCGGCCCTCACCTCGTACTGGCTGAGCGGCCGGGGGAGGCCGAGCGCGGCCCCGGCCCTCACCTCGTACTGGCTGAGCGGCCGGGGGAGGCCGAGCGGGGCCCCGGCCCTCACCTCGTACTGGCTGAGCGGCCGGGGGAGGCCGAGCGCGGCCCCGGCCCTCACCTCGTACTGGCTGAGCGGCCGGGGGAGGCCGAGCGCGGCCCCGGCCCTCACCTCGTACTGGCTGAGCGGCCGGGGGAGGCCGGGGGAGGCCGAGCGCGGCCCCAGCCCTCACCTCGTACTGGCTGAGCGGCCGGGGGAGGCCGAGCGGGGCCCCAGCCCTCACCTCGTACTGGCTGAGCGGCCGGGGGAGGCCGAGCGCGGCCCCGGCCCTCACCTCGTACTGGCTGAGCGGCCGGGGGAGGCCGAGCGCGGCCCCGGCCCTCACCTTGTACTGGCTGAGCGGACACTCCTGCAGCAGGTAGTCGTCGGCGCCGCACACCTTGAGCAGGTAGTGGGCCTGGTACTCCTGCAGGCAGCGTTGGAGCTGCTCGGGCGCCAGGTGCAGGCTGCGGCTGCGTTTGCGGATGGCGTCGGCGATCACCTGGCCGGGCCGCGCGTCGTGCGGGGCCGCCAGGGTGTATTTCTGCTTCTCCAGCTGCGGCGAGATGATCACCCACACGGCCACCATCAGCCGGCCTGGGGTGGGGGCCACAGGGGGGGGGGACGACAGAGAAAGGAAAAATAGGGGGGCTGCCCTTTGTCCCCCATCCCAGACCCGCTTCTTCCGCCCCATGGGACCCAGGCCCCCGCCACGGCGCGCACACTCCGCCCCCACCCTGGGACCGCCCCACTTCCCCCATCCCCGGCACACAGCACCCGGCCCGCCTGGACCCCCCCCGCCTCACTGCCCAGGCCCCCCACTTGCCTCTGCCCCATGGGGCTCAGATCACACAGCCCCCCACTACCCCACGGCGCTCAGACCCCCAGGGAGCCCAGGACCCCTTTCCCCCCGCCCCACAGCGCTCAGATCCCCAGGGAGCCCAGGACCCCTTCCCCCCGCCCCACGGCGCTCAGACCCCCAGGGAGCCCAGGACCCCTTCCCCCCGCCCCACGGCGCTCAGACCCCCAGGGAGCCCAGGACTCCTTCCCCCCGCCCCACGGCACTCAGACCCCCAGGGAGCACAGGACCCCTTCCCCCCGCCCCACGGCACTCAGACCCTCAGGGAGCACAGGACCCCTTCCCCCTGCCCCACGGCACTCAGACCCCCAGGGAGCACAGGACCCCTTCCCCCGCCCCATGGCGCTCAGACCCCCAGGGAGCACAGGACCCCTTCCCCCGCCCCACGGCGCTCAGACCCCCAGGGAGCACAGGACCCCTTCCCCCCGCCCCACGGCGCTCAGACCCCCAGGGAGCACAGGACCCCTTCCCCCCCCCCCACGGCGCTCAGACCCCCAGGGAGCACAGGACCCCTTCCCCCCGCCCCATGGCACTCAGACCCCCAGGGAACACAGGAACCCCCCCCTCACCCTTGTCCAGCTTGCTGTAGACGTGTTTGGGCAGCTCGGGGCTGGACTCCACGTTGGGGGGGTAGACGTAGAGGGCCTGGCTGTGGGGCCCGCCGGCCTCCCGCGTCTCCACGGCCTCGCGGCACACGGCCAGGATGGAGCGGCGGAAATCCTGCACCTCGGGGTCCTTCACCAGCTCGAACTCGCAGATGGGCATCCCGATGGCGAAGCCTGGGTGTGGGGGGGCGGGCAGGACGAGGGGGCTGAGACCAGACAGAGCCCCCTCACCCACCACCACCACCCCCTGCGCCGAATCTAGGCCTGGCCCCGCTCACCGATCTCCCGGTTGAGGATTTTCTCCTCCCGGTTGCCGACCGGCTCGATGACCTTGAGGATGGGCTGGAAGAGCCGCAGGTCACACAGCCGCCGGGACTCGTCGAAGAACTCCTCCCGCTCGGCCTCCTGGGTCACCCCCACGAAGATGTAGGAGGATTCGTCCTGGGGCGGGGAGGGCACAGATGCTGCAATCCGAACCCCCACACACCAGCCCCCCGCCCCTCCCAGAGCCAGGGAGAGAACCCAGGAGTCCGGGCTCCCAGCCCCCGCTGCTCTAACCCACCAACCCCCAACTCTCCTCCCAGAGCTGGGAACAGAACCCAGGAGTCCTGGCTCCCAGCCCCCCCGCTCTGACCCACCAGACCCCACACCCCTCCCAGAGCCAGGGAGAGAACCCAGGAGTCCGGGCTCCCAGCCCCCGCCGCTCTAACCCCCCAGCCCGGGATGGGACCCAGGCGTCCGGCTCACCTGCAGCAGGTGGAAGAGGGGGTATTTCCGGGCCTCTCGGAAGAGCTCGTGTTTGATGCCCAGCAGCGCGGCCTCACGCAGGCACTCCAGGGTGACCAGCATGCCGTTGGGGAGGCAGCAATCCACCATGATCCGGGGGGGCATGAGGTGCAGCCCCCACAGCTCCCCGGACGACGGCCGCGGCGGCATGGCTGCACCAGCAGGGGAGGACCCCTGGCCCTGCTAGAGACGCGGCCCGGGAGTAAGGCGTCGGGCCCACCTGCGGAGAGAGCAGACATGCCCCTCACTCCCGGCCTGCAGCCCCCCCAGCTCCGCCGGTGCCCCTCACTCGCGACCCACCGCCCCCACGCCTGTGTTCCCCCTGCCAGCTCTCCTGATTCCCCTCAATCCTGACATGGCGAGAGACAGGCCCTGCCCCAAAAGGTTTTGTTGCCTGCTTGCAGAGAACTGGGGGCTGGGGTCAACTTGTCCCTCCCCACCGCTTTCAGGCTAGCTCACCTTCACCGGGACCCCGGCACACAGGAGCAGAGAAGCCAAAACTTCCCAGCAAGCGGCGAGATCCCTCCAAGAGGAGACAGAAATTCACCAGACCTCCACTTTTGTTATTTAAACACCCCTTCTGGTTAACCCCTCACATCCCCTGCGCCTACCAACCCTTCCAGCTGGAATAACACCCAGGAACCGCGGCGGGATCATTCGTGCCGACTCCTGCCTCAGTTCCCCCGGCAGTAAAATGGGCGCAATCACACTTCTCTCTGGGTGGGCTGGGCAGGGTCTCTCTCTTGGTGTCTCTGCAATCTGGGGCACAATGCGGGGCCCCTAATCTAGGTTGCGGGGGGGATCTTTGCAGCACCCGACACAAGGGTGGGGTCCCCACTCTGGCCCCGGGCCTGTCGGCAGTGCTGAGAGGTGTCTCTTTCCCCCTCATCTATGAATTCCTCTGCCCTTGTCAGACACCCAAAAGTCGGACAGAAGCAGGAAGTGCGAATGACTGGAGAGAGACAGAAGATGAAATTTGCTGCTTTAGACACCCCCCCTCCCTGCCCCATTCCCGACCAAGATCAGGGTCCCCTATTGTGTCAGGCCGCTGCAGACCCTCTCCACCCCCGACCGAGATCAGGGGCCCCGGTGTCCCCACCCCTATGAGCTTACAATCTAAACAGACCTAGCTCAGGAAAAGGGAAACAGCAGCACAAAGAGGGTAGGGGGTGTCACGGCATCCCTGGGCGATGCTCTGGACCTGCTCCCTACGAAGCCAGGCAGGACTCTGGGGAAGTCTCCTCTCTCGGAGCAGCCTGTCTCCAGGGCAAGAAGCTCACCCGGCTTCCCCCTTCCTGGGTCTGACCTCGGAGCATTCAGCCTCCTCTGCCCCTCCGTGCGCTTCCCATAGCGAGTCCGCCCAGGCGGGCTCCTGCGGCAGCCAGAGGGTCCTGCCCCCCAGCTCCGCAGTCAGACAGGACTCTCAGCCAGCCAGTAACACAGAAGGTTTATTAGATGACAGGAACACGGTCTAACACAGAGCTTGTAGGTGCAGAGACCGGGACCCCTCAGCTGGGTCCATTCTGGGGCCAGGGAGGTCAGAGCCCAGGTCTGGGCCTCCCTCCATTTCCCCAGCCAGACCCAAACTGAAACTCTCCCGCCCCCGCCTCTGGCCTTTGTCTCTTTCCCAGGACAGGAGGCCACCGGATCTCTTTGTTCGCCAACCCCTTCAGCTGGCACCTTGCAGGCGAGGGGCCCAGGCCATCAGTAGCCGGGGTGTCGGCCATTCTCTGTGCAAACACCATCGCACTGGCCCTCTAGGGCTCTGCCACAATCCCACCCCCTTATCCCACCACCTGGATACTGAAGAACTGCCTAGGGGAAACAGAGGCACCCACACAGTATTCAGAGACAACATTAAGAACATTCCCACTTTCGTCACAGGAGGCAAAGAGACATGCCCAAGGTCACCTCGGCAGCTCAGTGGTGGAGAAGGATGCTGGGGGGGCGGAGGGGGAAGACCGATACTTTTTGAATCCCAGTGAGCCAGGTGATATGCTAGGGCCCTTCCTGTTTGGAAGCAGCTCCCAGGTGACAGCCTCCCAGCCTCCCCTCATCCCCTGCCCCGCTAGAAACCAACTCCCAGCACCAGAAGGGGGCGGAGGGGGAAACCCCATGCCAGCCCAGAAATCCCCCCTTTTCTTCCCCTGCTGACCTGCGTTTTGTTTTCTTAGCTCAGGGAGCACAGGAACACCCCCCCCCCCTAAAAAGTAAGGGGGTGGGGGGAGCTTGTCTTTCTGATCTCCCTAGATGTTACTGAGGGCTCAATAATGTTTTCTCCCCCCCTCAACCCCACCCCAGAGAGGGGGAACCTGGCTACTTACATGCTGGCTGGATCTGTGCCTTTAGTCGATTTCCTCTTGCGAAACTGACCAACTCCCACAGCCAGAAGGGGAAGGTGGGGGGGGACAAAAAAAAAAAACAACAGGATTTTTAGTCCCTGAACTGAGCAACTCAAGCCCCCAATGCCAAACCATCCGCACCCCCCCAGCAGCTAGGAGAGAGGACGGAGAGACATGTCTGCAGCTTTGCAAAATCCGTCTGGCTTCCCCCGCTGCATATTTCCTCCCCTGCTTCTCTCTCTGCTCAGAGTGGGAAAAGCTTTTGCAGGCAGTATCCGGGCATGGGAAGGCAGGGATTTCCGCTAGATTCACACTCACACAGCTGGGGAGGGTTCATTGGAAAATGGCACCATCAAATCAGATTCACTCTGCAGCCAGAAAGAGAGAGGCAGGCCCAGGACTTGGGGACTAGGGCCGGGGTGAGATGATTCTTGCAAGCCAGACAAATCTGCTCCTGGAAAAGGAAGGGATTTGGGCTTTTTATAAAACTTCATCGCTCTAGCCAGGGTGGCAAATCTGTCTCAGGATCAGGAGGGGGACAGAGGAGAGAGATGTCTGCAACTAGCTATACAAGGGGTACAGGGAAAGATGGAGGAAAGGTAAGTCTGGAGATAAAGCTAGATAATTTGAGTGATTGGTTAGATACAGAGGAGTGTCTGGGGAAAGACGTTGATTAGCTAGAGGAACATATAAGGGGATAGATATGTGTATAGGGTCATGTATGGATCAAGAGAGTGCTTAATAAAACAACTTTTATTCCAGGCATTCTAGGTGGCAAACTTAATTAAGGTGGAGAAAGATTTAGTTATTGAAGTGGGACCATCCTGAGAACAGTGCGGAGTAGGTAGCTGGACACACAAGTGATGTTGTGCATGGGGATGGATGAATCAAAACAGGAGCGTATCTAGGGATAGATGGCTAAATAGACCGGCGTGAAGGTGGGGTGGATGGATGGATAGATGCTGATAGAGGGCGATTCATTTGAAGAAGAAAAAAAACAATGAAGGAAATTCCCTGACTAAAATCTTCGTTACACAGGGGTTAAGATTTCGACCAATGAAAAAGAGAACAATATTGTTTAGATAGATGAGAATCAAGTACTTACATTTTTTTTTCTGAAAGAGAGGAAGTTCTCAGGCCAAAAACAAAACAAAAAAAGCATTGAACTGGAGAGCGAGAGACAGATACAGATGTGTGTGGGCAGGGATGGATGGAGAAAGGGGTGTACTGGGGGATGGAAGTAGAGGTGTCTGTGGGGGATAGATTGAGGGAGGGAGAGGAATGGATATGGGGGTGGATGGCTGGAAAGATGAGCAGATACGGGAATGGATGGTTGGATGGATGGAAAGGTGAGGCTGGAGATGGATGGAGGGGTGAGGATGGATTAAATGAATAGGCACAGGATTTAAACAAACAAAAGGAAGTATTTTTTCACCCAATGCACAGTCAACCTGTGGAACTCCTCACTAGAGGATGTTGTGAAGGCCAAGACTATAACGGGGGTTCAAAAAAGAACTAGATATAAGTTCCTGGAGGATTGGTCCATCAATGGCTATTAGCCGGGATGGTGTCCCTGGCCTCTGTTTCCCAGAAGCTGGGTGTGGGCGACAGGGGATGGATCACTTGATGATTCCCTGTTCTATTCCTTCCCTCTGGGGCCCCTGGCATTGGCCACTGTCAGAAGACAGGACACTGGGCCAGATGGACCTTTCATCTGACCCAGTAGGGCCGTTCTCATGTTCTATGGATGCAGGGATGGGTGGATGGATGGATAGAAGGGTGTGTGTGTTTGGGGATGGATGGATGGATGGATAGAAGGGTGTGTGTGTTTGGGGATGGATGGATGGATGGATAGAAGGGTGTGTGTGTTTGGGGATGGATGGATGGATGGATAGAACGGTGTGTGTGTTTGGGGATGGATGGATGGATGGAGAGAAGGGTGGGTGTGTTTGGGGATGGATGGATTGATGGATAGAAGGGTGGGTGTGTTTGGGGATGGATGGATGGATAGAAGGGTGTGTGTGTTTGGGGATGGATAGATGGATAGAAGGGTGGGTGTGTTTGGGGATGGATGGATGGATGGATAGAAGGGTGGGTGTGTTTGGGGATGGATGGATGGATGGATAGAAGGGTGGGTGTGTTTGGGGATGGATGGATGGATGGATGGATAGAAGGGTGGGTGTGTTTGGGGATGGATGGATGGATGGATGGATAGAAGGGTGGGTGTGTTTGGGGATGGATGGATGGATGGATAGAAGGGTGTGTTTGGGGATGGATGGATGGATGGATAGAAGGGTGGGTGTGTTTGGGGATGGATGGATGGATAGAAGGGTGGGTGTGTTTGGGGATGGATGGATGGATGGATAGAAGGGTGTGTGTGTTTGGGGATGGATGGATGGATGGATAGAAGGGTGGGTGTGTTTGGGGATGGATGGATGGATGGATAGAAGGGTGTGTGTGTTTGGGGATGGATGGATGGATGGATAGAAGGGTGTGTGTGTTTGGGGATGGATGGATGGATGGACAGAAGGGTGTGTGTGTTTGGGGATGGATGGATGGATGGATAGAAGGGTGTGTGTGTTTGGGGATGGATGGATGGATAGAAGGGTGTGTGTGTTTGGGGATGGATGGATGGATAGAAGGGTGTGTTTGGGGATGGATGGATGGATGGATGGATGGATAGAAGGGTGGGTGTTTTTGGGGATGGATGGATGGATGGATAGAAGGGTGTGTGTGTTTGGGGATGGATGGATGGATAGAAGGGTGTGTGTGTTTGGGGATGGATGGATGGATGGATAGAAGGGTGTGTGTGTTTGGGGATGGATGGATGGATGGATAGAAGGGTGGGTATGTTTGGGGATCGATGGATGGATGGATAGAAGGGTGGGTGTGTTTGGGGATGGATGGATGGATAGAAGGGTGTGTTTGGGGATGGATGGATGGATGGATAGAAGGGTGGGTGTGTTTGGGGATGGATGGATGGATGGAAAAGGGTGGGTGTGTTTGGGGATGGATGGATGGATGGATAGAAGGGTGGGTGTGTTTGGGGATGGATGGATGGATAGATAGAAGGGTGTGTGTGTTTGGGGATGGATGGATGGATGGATAGAAGGGTGTGTGTGTTTGGGGATGGATGGATGGATGGATAGAAGGGTGTGTGTGTTTGGGGATGGATGGATGGATGGATAGAAGGGTGTGTGTGTTTGGGGATGGATGGATGGATGGATAGAAGGGTGTGTGTGTTTGGGGATGGATGGATGGATGGATAGAAGGGTGGGTGTGTTTGGGGATGGATGGATGGATAGATAGAAGGGTGTGTGTGTTTGGGGATGGATGGATGGATAGATAGAAGGGTGTGTGTGTTTGGGGATGGATGGATGGATGGATAGAAGGGTGTGTGTGTTTGGGGATGGATGGATGGATGGATAGAAGGGTGTGTGTGTTTGGGGATGGATGGATGGATGGATAGAAGGGGGTGTGTTTGGGGATGGATGGATGGATGGATAGAAGGGTGTGTGTGTTTGGGGATGGATGGATGGATGGATAGAAGGGTGTGTGTTTTGGGGATGGATGGATGGATGGATAGAAGGGTGTGTGTTTGGGGATGGATGGATGGATGGATAGAAGGGTGGGTGTGTTTGGGGATGGATGGATGGATGGATAGAAGGGTGGATGGATGGATGGATGGATGGATGGATGGATAGAGGGTGTGTGTTTGGGGATGGATGGATGGATGGATAGAAGGGTGTGTGTGTTTGGGGATGGATGGATGGATGGATAGAAGGGTGTGTGTGTTTGGGGATGGATGGATGGATGGATAGAAGGGTGTGTGTGTTTGGGGATGGATGGATGGATAGATAGAAGGGTGTGTGTGTTTGGGGATGGATGGATAGAAGGGTGGGTGTGTTTGGGGATGGATGGATAGAAGGGTGGGTGTGTTTGGGGATGGATGGATGGATGGACAGAAGGGTGTGTGTGTTTGGGGATGGATGGATGGATAGAAGGTTGTGTGTGTTTGGAGATGGATGGATGGATGGATAGAAGGGTGGGTGTGTTTGGGGATGGATGGACGGATGGATAGAAGGGTGTGTGTGTTTGGAGATGGATGGATGGATGGATAGAAGGGTGTGTTTGGGGATGGATGGATGGATGGATAGAAGGGTGTGTGTGTTTGGAGATGGATGGATGGATAGAAGGGTGGGTGTGTTTGGGGATGGATGGATGGATAGAAGGGTGTGTGTGTTTGGGGATGGATGGATGGATGGATAGAAGGGTGTGTGTGTTTGGAGATGGATGGATGGATAGAAGGGTGGGTGTGTTTGGGGATGGATGGATGGATAGAAGGGTGTGTTTGGGGATGGATGGATGGATGGATAGAAGGGTGTGTGTGTTTGGGGATGGATGGATGCATGGATAGAAGGGGTGTGTGTTTGGGGATGGATGGATGGATGGATAGAAGGGGGTGTGTGTTTGGGGATGGATGGATGGATGGATAGAAGGGTGGGTGTGTTTGGGGATGGATGGATGGATGGATAGAAGGGTGTGTGTGTTTGGGGATGGATGGATGGATAGAAGGGTGTGTGTGTTTGGGGATGGATGGATGGATAGAAGGGTGTGTTTGGGGATGGATGGATGGATGGATGGATGGATGGATGGATAGAAGGGTGGGTGTGTTTGGGGATGGATGGATGGATGGATAGAAGGGTGGGTGTTTTGGGGATGGATGGATGGATGGATAGAAGGGTGTGTGTGTTTGGGGATGGATGGATGGATGGATAGAAGGGTGGGTGTTTTGGGGATGGATGGATGGATGGATAGAAGGGTGTGTGTGTTTGGGGATGGATGGATGGATGGATAGAAGGGTGTGTGTGTTTGGGGATGGATGGATGGATGGATAGAAGGGTGTGTGTGTTTGGGGATCGATGGATGGATGGATAGAAGGGTGGGTGTGTTTGGGGATGGATGGATGGATGGATAGAAGGGTGGGTGTGTTTGGGGATGGATGGATGGATGGATAGAAGGGTGGGTGTGTTTGGGGATGGATGGATGGATGGATAGAAGGGTGTGTGTGTTTGGGGATGGATGGATGGATAGAAGGGTGTGTGTGTTTGGGGATGGATGGATGGATGGATAGAAGGGTGTGTGTGTTTGGGGATGGATGGATGGATGGATAGAAGGGTGGGTGTGTTTGGGGATGGATGGATGGATAGAAGGGTGTGTTTTGGGGATGGATGGATGGATGGACAGAAGGGTGTGTGTGTTTGGGGATGGATGGATGGATAGAAGGGTGTGTTTGGGGATGGATGGATGGATGGATAGAAGGGTGTGTGTGTTTGGGGATGGATGGATGGATGGATAGAAGGGTGGGTGTGTTTGGGGA